GGGACAAAGTAGAGGTCCATGAAAATACATAAAGAAAACAAGGCAAACATCTAGCCATCTTGAACTAACAAGCATGGTCAATATAGGATAAATTGTGAAGCAAAACAAATTGGATATAATAAGGATCAAGAATAACTTGTTTACTTTGAGAGCCAGTAAAAAAAAGGAAACCTTGTTTGCAGCACCATTTAACATTTTCTTTGTTTTCTTTGTTCTTCTCCATAGTTATCACTGTCCAAAAACTACGTTGTAACATGAGTGTAAATTACAAGCAGTGTGTGCTTGCAGTTAAAATTTCTTCTGTTTTAACTTTTGATGATGATTTTTCCATGTAAACGATTAATTAATAATAAATTGTAAAATTTTAAGACTTAAAATTGCTCTTGACATATGGGCCGTGGGCAGTTTTGCTGTCTTTGTTGTCTGAAAGCATGGAGGACATATGTTTGATGAATGAGGTGTCCAAATTTTTCCCATCATATGTCCAAATGCAAGGAAAAAAATTAAGATTTTTTTTATTTCATAAATTTTTTTGTAGGATGGATGAAAACTGTGGATCATAGGTTTGCATATATCCTTACTGAAGATTGTTTTGTTGTGAAATCTAGCAGTTTGCTGAAGCAGGTAAATAAAATTCTGGTATAAGCTATACTCTGTTTGTAGTTCACTACAGATGTGTATTGTGCAGTGCAACTTGTGGAGTTTGATCTGCAAGTTTGATCTGCGCTAGTATTGTTTGGAATTGCCTACCTAGTCAGTTAAAGTCTAAGCCTAGTTACTCTTCTTTTAAGGCTAGTATTAAGAAATTCTATAAATGCATTGACCAAATTAATTTCGACTCAAACTCCACTGCTACCAACCATATCAGTGACGAATTTAAGTACTACTGATATCTAGTTTGCCATCTTGTTATCTTATTATTATTATTATTACAATTATTATTTATTTAAAAATTTTTAATTTAAATCTTATCTTTGTATTTATTTTCCTTTAAATGCATTGTTTGAGTTAATTTGACTGATACTAATCAGTCAAAGTAAGTCCTATTTATTTATGCTACCCGTATATATAATGTATTATTGATACGTATGATTATTCATACTAGGAGACGTATATAGTTTTAGCTGTTTATTAGTAGATAGCAGGTTCACATCAGCATTAGCTGCCATTTCCTCAACCTGCTTTACCAAATAAAGGATGTATGTATGTATGTATGTATGTATGTATGTATGTATGTATGTATGTATGTAAGAAGAGCATTCTGGCAATTCAAAATGGTATCCATTCCTGATTTAGTTGTTTAAAAGGTGAATGAAGGTGGATCTATCCATTTATCCTTTCCTTTTTTCTGTTAATGAAAACCTCCAAATTCTTTTAAAATATCCCTATGACTGATAGGTAGCAGTACAATTTGTCTTTTGTCTCAGTTTTCTTGAGCAAGAATTGGAATTCTGAACACTATTGCACAAGGACAAGTACATTATAGTGGGAACAAAAAAAGCTGAGCATGAAGATGCTTGCAGAATGAATAAGATGGCAGATTGAGTTAAGAATTAATTATATTTACATACTTTGATGAGGATTTTTTCTCATGCTTGTTCTTAAGCTTACAGGGGTTTATATATGTGTAGAGGGAGCATTTAACAATAGTCTGAACTTCCCCTTCACTGGCCTGCTGAAACTTAAGATTAAGATTAAGTCTGCAAATTTGAACAGTGGATATATAGACAAAATTTTTACTTTTCAAGAGGTGCAACAGATCTGTGTTTTGAGGCTGAAAGAACAGGGAAACACTTTTATAGTTTAAAACTAAAAAATGTCTCTGCAGGAGTCGTTTATTTTTATTTTTATTTTTTGTTTCCTTTCTAGGATAGAAGATGTTCTCCTTTTAGTCCATTCAGGTTTTTTGTGGTGCAGCTGATTTTATGAGATAATTCATATTAATTGTATATTAAAAACAGATTTGAAGATGTTTGTATAGAGTTGGTCCTAAACACACAAAAAAGGAAACATGAAGCCTGTTTGGAAAACTTTAATGTGAAAAATGGAAAAACTGTTTCAGAAACTGGACTGTCTTCTTGCGCTGATGGGATGTTTGACTTTGTACAAGGGATGGGTGAGGAAACCTGACCCTCTAAGGAGTCAGCTTCACCCAACATAAGTCTTCCTTAGTCTTGATCTGTGATGCAAAGACTTGGTCCCCAAAAAGGGGCAAAACTGTTTCGGAAACTCGACTGTCTTTATGTGCTGATAAGGTGTTTGAGTTTGTACAAGAGCTGGATGACTTAAAGCTGACAACTAAGGAGTCAGTCTCACTTTACAAAACTCTTTCTTAGTCTGGATCTGTGATGCAAAGACTTGGTCCCCAAAAAAGAGGAAAAACTGTTTTAGAAAGTGGACTGTCTTTATGCTCGAATGGAGTGTTTGACTTTGTACACGAGAGTTACCCACTAAAGTGTCAGTGTCACAACAAATTTCTAAAAAATTTTGAAGAAACTTAATTTCTGCTTTATGCATAAAAGCTTGTAGATAAACTGAAGGTGTAATGTTTGTTGATTTCTGTATTTTTCAATCCTGATACAGGACCCAAGCAAGAGTGCGGACACTGTTTGTTTTCAAAGTTCTTGGATTATTTTGGATTATAGGACCATGATGGTCTCCATGAGGTGTCCAAGGCAAGTGTTTCGTTGTCATTGAGAAACTGCACGTATTCAATTTATACTGAAGCAAACAACATAGATGCATTATTTTAGGTATGCATTATGGGTATGTTGCAGTGCTGGGCTTTTTGCAGCGCGGAATCTGCCAACCAGAATCTACCTTCTAGTTAGAGTGGAATGTTACGACAATCGCATTTACTTAGAGCTCTGTCCCGTAGCGCTGCGAGTTCAATAAACGGCTCGAGCGTAACTCTTCCACAAAATCTCGCACAATGGATAGGTCAATCTGCAACTAACAGCCAGCTAATCTAAGGAAATATTTGGGAGCTTTTGGGGGCGAACAGGGGCACAAGGAATCTTATTCGCGATAATTGAGAATTAATTTTCAAAAAAAAAAAATAATTTGGTTCTCTGGCTTACATAAAAGATAAAGTGAAGTTAAAAAACGAATTACTGACGCAAAATGTTACAGCCCTTACCCATGAACGTGATCATTATGTGAAAATTGTGAATTGAACGCAAAATCGAATAAATGCGAGGTGACAAATATTTTTTACAGATAAGTAACACAGTTTGGAAAAAAAAGTCCTGGCAGTAGTATTGAAGATTAAAATGTCGAAAACTCATTTGGAAACGAAATGTATCCGCGTTTTGAATGGTCGCCTAATGAACCCCGGCATGCTTACAAACATTATTGGAGAATTCTTGGACGCTTCTAGGCTGTGTGTTTTGATTAAGGTTGATAGGTTTACAGGTATTGAGTCAGGGAATATCGTGAAGCTCTCAATAGGTTTACAAGTCGATGAATTTTTGGTAACTTACTGAATTTAGGTCTAAGTCTCGTTAGCTGTCTCTTCAAGTAGATGAGTACAACTAATACTCTCAATTTGTTTGGAGACGAATAATTTCCGTCTAAGGCTGGCGTCGTTATTACGCCCTTTGGTATGACAATCTTTGTTTCGGGGAAACGGTTCAGGAAAAGTTATCTTCTATGTCAGGAAATTTCGTGTAGACTCAGGGAAAATTAAGGCTTTGGAAGAACTCAAGGAAAAGTGAAATCTTCTGTAAATATGATCTCATTGCTCCTGTTTTGGCTCCTTCAAGACGAAAGATGGAACACTAAATTTTTTGTGATGTCGATGTTACACATGTTAACTACAGTTGATAGATTCCTGACAAGCATATCGTTTCCCTCCAAATGCAAGCCCAAGTAGGTTTGGGAATGAATGAATACACTTTCTTTTTTTTTTTCTTTTATTTTCATTGTTTTCTAACATTTCCAATTCTTTGGTTAATTTCACGGACATGAAACGGGTTTGATAGGGAAAATATTTTATGAATGAAAATGGACGACAAACTGATATTGGGTTTCCTGGAAAATCAATCCTTTTCCCTTGTTATACACTGCATGTGTCTCGCTAAAAGCCCAATGCATAGTTGGAGAGGATGGCTGTGAGGGAAGGTTTGAGGCCATTATTCGGACTAATGTGTTGAGTTGTTCATTTAGTTGATCAGAGAAATTTTAAAATTTTTCTGGGAAAAGTCACGGAAACTCAGGAAATTTCTAAAACCTGTGGCTGTGGCAACCATGGTTCATGTTAGTATACTGGCTGAGTGACAGACCAGTTTAGCCCCAGTTAAGCTTTTATTTTTAGACAAAATATTTTCACATTTTTCCAAAAACTTTTCAGGGTAGGTCTAGTTAATGTTTCTGGAAACGTAGCTCATAATTAATTGGTTTACCTTACTTCCGATTCCTTTTTGATAACATTACACGAAAGTTAACACAAAGCTAGAGGCAGGTGACGCACAAGGCGATTTTGTTGGGCGATTGCAGCGAGATCCACCCCCATGCAACGAAAGTCGTGAGCGAATTTCTTCAATATGCGATTCCCGCACTCTCTACAGCTTAATTTCGATGGCAGCGATATGGTATTGAAACCGCTTTGTTCTTGATAGCCATTGAAAGCATTTTTCGTGTTCGAAAATTGTGCGAAAACATTTCGACATAAGCAACATGGGAAAGCGATAAGCGTGGAAAATACTGGAAGCAGGCCCGCAGGGTAAATACTGGCGTATTAAATCTCTGATATCTGGTATGCGATTAGTAGATAAAGAGTAATAGAGCCAAGGTGATTTGTAGGTTGGTCAATGATCAGGAGGGATTTGTTTTTGGATTGCATGTCTTCACATTCCATTGAAGCTTGCCGTAATTTTTATAAGAATATAACATCACCTCACTCTCAATTCATTCTTCTAACAAGAGACAACGAGGGACCTCCCTTAAAGTCAGTTTTTCAATTTGTTCCATAAATGGATCCCTTTGGCTAAAATATAAATGAAAGAATATCATCTTAGTATTTCTGAATCGTGTTTTTGTGGGGCACAGAAATGCCTTTAAGGTGGCTGAGCACAGTTTTCGCGCGCGCTTTTGCTGATGCAATTCAGCGCGCGCACAAGGATTGCAAAAAACAAACATGCCGTCAATAGAGCGGTCATTTTACTTACTCAACAGGTACCCGCACAATCTGTGCTATTTTTCTCTATAGTCGGCGCAGTGTATTGAGGGCTTTAATCTTTCATTACAAAGATATGTTAGAAAAGGTAACGGTGCAAAGAACCCAGCAATTCTCAGCTTTTTCGTCGTTACCGAAAGAAACCAGTTAAATGCATCGCATGCGTAGTAAGTAAAAAAATTGCGATTGAATGGAAAATTGCTTTCTCGGAAATGTGCCTATATCTTGAGAACCACTTCATTCACGAAATTTGCCACAAAAATACTTAAGGAAATAAGTACCTGGAGTATTAAAAAAAATTGATTTTAAACAAAGGAAATTCTAGAAAATCGAGTGAACCTTCAACAAGGGATAATCAAAGACCTCTGTTAAATTGTTAGCAAAATGGTGTTAACTTGTATCATTACAAGCTCCTTGCATGCAAATTATAAAGAAAACCTAATGACTAGATTTTCTACAAAGAAACAAAACCGATTTTAATTGCCTATTTAGATCTCTTCATGTCGCCATGGCAACGGCACATACGTCAGCTTAACTAACGAAAAAACAAAGTTTATGTTGTTAAGTTGCTTACTGCCAGTTTTGGCGACCGAGAGATCAAGGGTTTTAGAGAAAATGGAGAAAGACACAAAGGTATCAAAAACTGTGTTCAGCCACCTTAATTTGTACAAAATTCCAGAGTTTCACTTTGGTAACTCAGATAGACATAAATCATTTGAAGAAATGAAGAAATACCTACAAACTAATTAGGAAAAACGATGGCTACGGATAGAGAACAATAAAACAGGTTTCCAAAAACAAAAACCTGTAGGTTATTTTTCGAGAATATCACAAACGACCGAAAAAGAACGACCTAACTTTACCGACAGATCGAAACAGACCAATCACGACCGACTTACGTCACTTGAGTCTTACAGCCAATAACATTACGGAAAAACCAACCGATCTTTTCACACGAACTGGAATAAGAACATTCTACTGACAACAATCATTCACTTGACTCTGATGATGACTTCCGCACAATTTGTCGAAACGTCAGTCACTACCACCGACAACAGTCCTTCTCAGGACTACACTCACCCGGACGATCAGACCACACCTTCACAATATCTTGTTATTTTTAAATGACGTCATGAATACTCCTCAGCGTCACTTATTGTAACACTACTTAAAACATAACCAAAATGGGCGGACATATGATTTGATTCAAGTTAGCGGCCATCTTTCACCCCTGAAAGTTTGCTTTTGGTGGATAAGATGCTTTGGGGAAGATCAGACCTTTTATCCCCCTTTTTTTTTCGTACCCAAAGTAGTTTTCATGTCTCCTGAAAACGGCAGCTAGTTACTTGGTCTTTTGATAGAGTTATTGCGAAAGGCGCTAATGCAGACTTTTTACATCAATTCTCCAGGTTTGGTCTGAAAATAGTTTTAATTTTCATCTCTAAATTAGTCAATCCTCTACCTTAAACATTTTGGATTATTTAAAAATAATTAAAAGACACGACGAACAAACTGTCAGAACTGCCTAAATATTTCTTACTTTCATTTTCATAGATGAGATTAAGATGAATTGACAAGTTTAATTTGTACCGGTGGTCCTGAAATTAGCATCTTCAATTGTTTTGGGTCGCTCAAGGGTAAAAGAGATATTTGACCAGAACTGGAGTCCTTAAACTGTTATCATTTCGTTTTCCTAGTCTGTTAGATGCCGGAAAAATAGTGTTAAGGTAAATAGTTTAGTTAAGCGGATAATTGTTGTGGCAGAGTTGAACGAAAGCTTGTGTAATTCTGTTTTGGTGGTCCAGAAATTGTCTGTGAACAGTAAATTGTTAGACTACCAATTTTTATGTAGATAATTATTGCGTATTTTTCCTCTTTCAGCTACCCTAAAGGTTACAAGTGTCGAAAAGGTCAGGAGAGACGACAATACTTTTTATTCTGGTGAGTGTAGCTTTATTGTTCACTATAATGAAGTTTCTCACTGGCTTTTGATAGGAATATTTTGTGCCCTTTTGATAAAGGTTTATTTAGGACGCACGCGAATTCATTTTATCTTCTGAATGGAAAAGATTTCCAGGTCTATTAGTATCTTTGTTGTGGCATAGTTGAAAAGAAGCTTGTGGAAGTTTGTCTTTGTCTTTTGGCGGCTAAATTTCATTCGTCCTTTTAGTTCAAGCCTAAGGAAGTAAGAGTGGGTAATGTTTTCACGGCTCAAATTCTTGGTCTTAATTTCATTTCCCTATCTTGCAGGTTTCTTCGACCACCCAAAGCTGGATACCAAGGATCACGATCACCTTAATAATAAGACTAGAGACAAATTTCAATCTTGGAAAGAAAGCAAAATTGGATCGACCCCTTATACAGAAAATAAAATGAAAAATTGGGGTTGATCCGTCCACCATCCCCAACCACACCCGCCTCTATAATACCGTCATTTCTATAGCACTCATTTACTTAAGCACTTGGACAGTGTATAACACTCATCTACCTTAAAAAAGAACCGTCTTCCACCCCTCCCCTTAGCCGCCACTCTTAGGCAGTTTTAGAACTCTTGACAGAAGACACCTACTCTGTGGTACAAACATCTTTTAATACAGTTCAGTACTACAATATATATTTTAATATTTCAATAGTGATATCACTATTGTTCTTACACTCTCATAATACAGTAATATTACCTTACTTGAGAAAGTTTTTTTTCCCCGTCCAGCCTCCCCCACCACACCCTCCTCTAGCCTACACATTTCTTATATCTTTGAAAGGGTTATCTACTTTATGGTTCAAACCTTTATTTCAAACGCATGCGTTTAATGTTACCAAACGTCTGTCTTAATACACATGGGTATTCCAAGATGTTACCGCGAGGTAGACAGCTTTTACAAATGCTTCAAAAAATTTTTGCGTTCTGTCCAAGGTTGATATTTTTCTCTGGTCTCTTGCTTTACTTCTTGACTATCGGCCCCGTTCTGTCCAAGGTTGATAATATTTGTCTCCAGATTCTTGCTGTGCTTCTGGTCAACCCGAAGTAAAAACAGTAAAAAAATAATACGTTTGCAAGAGAAAATTAAAATTACCACTTCCAATGCGAAGAGCTTTTCCCCCGTGTTATTATGTATCCAATCACCTTATTCCTTAGAAATAAACTGGCGAAGAAATGAAAAAAACTTAGACCAAGTGCTGTTATTGCATTTGAGTATTGAGAAAGCTCTTCAATCCTTCGGATAGCTTGGAATTTGCTTTTGCCACAAAACAACTTCTGTGAGCATTATTTTCTGTGATGGCTCCACAACGGTTAAAAAATTAATTGAAATTTTCATAAGAATTTCGCGTGTGGGTAGATTAAATTACCATCCCTAACAGCGCTACACTTCATCTTTAGCAGAAGATGTGGGAGTAGAGTTAAACTACAAATGAAAACGTAGATAGTTTCCTTCCTCAGACTGTTCACATTTTTGTATTTTACGTTGTTGTTTTGCAGAGGACAGCCTAGAAATGCACAAACTTTTAAACACACGTGGTGAGCTATTGATGTGCTCATCAAGTCTTTTGTTTGGCCACATTCTCGTTGCCAAAGCCGTCGTGGTTTTCTTAAGGTCTCTGTTATCAAACCAAACTTCTGGATTAAAACCTAAACTAGGTAAGATGTAGAACTTTCTAACCTGAAATGAGTACATCAACATATCGGCTTGAAACTTTCAATTCCCGAAGACATCACAAAATTAATGGTTCTTCCATTACTGCAATCTTCAAACAAATCATTGTCTATCTGTAGGTGGTTTGCACGCTACGTCACTGCCGCCATGTTGGTAGACGTGAACAACAGATATCTCATTAGCTTCTTTTGTTTGTCCACCAGCATTTGTTCCTTTCACCATTGTTACCCGTGTTTCCAGTGATTGGTTGCAAACCACCTATAAAAGATAATTTGAGGAAAACATATTTGCCGGTGTAAATATCTGCCAGATTGCTACACCATTTACTGAATGTTAATCATTGGTTACCCTACATTTACATCAGAAAAATTCAAATAGGAATAAAAGAAAAAGCAGAGCTAAAATAAACTCCATTCAACTACTCTGGCCAATTCTCCTGACCCTCCCCTCGAGAGGAAAGAATTTGACTCTAACCGAAAAGTGGTACCTGATAATTTTGACACAGAAAATGGCGACAGCACATGACGACCACACAATTAACATGGCATTAAGTCACAAGGATAAAGTTTAGAATGGCCAAGTCAGCTTTAGACGTTATTGCTTCTACAACACTTTCTTCCCTAAAGAGCGAATAAGAACGCAAAAACTGCATCCAGAAAATGTAACGTTGATACAGGACATTTACACTCCTGTGAGTGTAGGTTCCTATTACTACTCAAACCAGGTCAGTTCTGGTCAACTATGGTTCCTTGTTTGTTCTATTCGGCAATTACCTCGATAATGAATGCTCATATTCACCGTGAACGCCAGTCAGATCACTCTCTGAACCATAAGTTCAAAAGTACATAAAATGGAGATGGTCGTCTTACAAATAGATCACTAGTAGCTATGTCATCTTTCAAAACAAAATCATCCATACTATTGGTTTTCTCTTGGTTCGCGGCTTCTAAAATTGTGTGATAAAAATTTCTATGATGACTATATCTATTACCACAAATAGTGGTAATAGATATGAAAAAATAGAAAAGAAGAAAAAAGGAGAAAT